ATCTGCGGTAAGTTTACGAACTTGCAACCTTGGTTACTGATTGGAAGAACTCGGGATTTTTAGAGTACACTGTAGATTCCTAGGTCCAACGGTGGATCTGCGGTAAGTTTACGAACTTGCAACCTTGGTTACTGATTGGAAGAACTCGGGATTTTTAGAGTACACTGTAGATTCCTAGGTCCAACGGTGGATCTGCGGTAAGTTTACGAACTTGCAACCTTGGTTACTGATTGGGGAAATTTGAGACTTTGATCATTTGTATGGTACGTTAGGCTTAGACACTTGTGCTTTTTGGTCCGACTGAGTGATTTTCCATCAAATTTACTGATGAAACCATAGAAGACAGTAGCCATACTACCAGGGAAAAGAAGTCGATTGTATTTGAGAGAGTGGATGGGGGTTATAGCTTTGTAAATATATCTGTGGCCAAACTATACTGTTTTTCATGCATTGCCCTCTATACGCTAACTAACTCCTGCCTCTAAGTTGGCTTGAGGTGTGGTTTTGGATCCTGTTGTTGCCCTAAACGCTTAGCTGTGCTGGTTTTACCGATAGGATGGAACTGTAAAGATTCCTTCTTCAAAATGTCATGTTTTTTGTGTCCACAGTTTTTTTTTAACAATTATACCATGTTTGTGTATTTCCTCGAATAGAGCTGTAACAAATTGTTTCGTCCATGAGACCAAATATATAAATGTTTATGAAGTCTCCAGCAGCGCCATGATTCTGAAGCGACAAACTACTCATTAATCCAGTGTTTTTACGTTATAGTCTATAAACTTGTATAGGAATCACCTGTTTGAAGTATTCCGGATCTTTTTGTTTAATGTGTTTTCCGGCTTTTTTAAAAGGTGGAATGAAGTTTACCTCTTTCCTCGTACGTTCGTAATTAATTTTCTTTCTGCCTCTCAATTCAAGCTTATTTAGACGTATAAGTATAAGGACATAAATAGTCTAAAATTCTTGCAAATACTAAAGACAGGTTATATGTGATTATAAAACTACACCAAATACATATCTCCTGAACAGGGAGAGTATCAATGCCCTGGGCCAATTACAGGAATGTCCATCTGAAGTGATGCAGACTCTAGCTAATAAAGCTACAAAGACAACGGTATACGGTTCACCAAATGAATGGAGCTCAGCTATTGTGTATTCTTTAGGTGGATTAATAGGTAATTATTGTCTAAACGTTTCTACTTATCAGCATGATACGAATAAAACAAGTTATTAACCTCATTATAGTATTTTGGCCTATAAAGTTAAAATCATAAATAATATTCAACGTTAAACTGGTACACCATTAAAAAAACTCCTGTTGTAAAGTCGAAACATGTAGTGTCGTCAACTTTTTGAAGGTTATAGATAGGCTTAAATAAAATGTTATTAACCTATAGTACAAAAACTATAATTTAGGTTTTTCCTGTCTGTCAAATAAAATCTTGTAACGCTTCAACGGTTTTAAGTTACTAGATATTTCTTTTATAATAATAATAATATTTTTCTTGTTCAAATTATATGTTCCGTATCCCCCTCTCCCCCAGTGACTCAACAATAAGTCTGCGGACTTATAACGCTAAAAATCGGGTTTCAATACCCGTAGTTGTTCATAGCACATATAGCCCATTGTGCAGCATTGTGCTTAGCTACAAACAAAGAAACCGTAGCCCCTACTCCACACGTTCTTTTAATTAAGGAAATAATATTGGTGATTGGTCCTACATCATATGTACAGAATTCTTTGTTTAATTCAGCTGGCCTTTCGGCTGATGAATTGAAGAAGATTCCAGCAGAGAGCATGAAAGGTGTCACCCCTCAAGCTGTGTCAGTTTTAGAGCCGGGGGTCATGAAGGTATGTATACCCCCAAACTAGATTCAAGGAACATATTGGTCTTCTAGCCTCCTTATCTAAAACTCTTACCAAAGCCTCGAGATCTTCCGGGTAACACATACTTCGGTCCATATAAAAATTGTCTTCCGGGTAACACACACACTTTCAGTCCATATAAAATTCATCTTCGGGGTAAACACACACACACTTTGGTCCATATAAAAAACATCTTCCGGGTGACACACACTTCGATCCATATAAAATCATCTTCCGGATAACACACACTTCGATCCATATAAAATCATCTTCCGGATAACACACACTTTCTGTCCACATAAAATCATCTTCCGGGTAACACACACTTCTGTTCATATTAAATCATCTTCCGGGTAACACACACTTCTGTTCATATTAAATCATCTTCTGGGTAACACACACTTCTGTTCATATTAAATCATCTTCTGGGTAACACACACTTCAGTCCATATTTAAATCATCTTCTGGGTAACATACACTTCAGTCCATATTTAAATCATCTCCCGGGTAACACACACTTCGGTCCATATAAAAATCATCTTCCAGATAACACACACTTCGTTCCATATACAATCAACCAAGTAAAGATCTATATAAATTATATAAGCACCTATTTTCAGTGGTTGGTCTGTGGTTTTTTGACATCATACAAATTTTCTCTACCACATTTGCCTTTATATAGAAGATTACGTTGCTACAGACTTTCAAAATAACAGTCCAGTAGCTAGATGTTTTAAAAAATTCGTTTTTTAGTTTCTTCGTTGTAAGATTTATCGACACAACTCGTTGTCTACACATAAATTACAGCCTACAGAACTAATATTTACGTTTAAGTTTAAGACACAAAATGCATGAAATTTGGGTTTTTGAAGATCAGTGTCGTTTACTTGTTTTTGGAATTTCGCGCAAACCTGCAAGGGGGCTATCTGCGCTAGCTGTCCTTAATTTAGAAGTAGACTAGATAGACGGCAGCTAGTGAACATCACTTACCGCCAACTCTTGAGCTAGTTTTTTCTAAAGAAAAGTAAAATTGACTGTTACATTATAACGCCTCCAAAGGGCAAGTATTTTCGGTGATGAGATTCGAACGTGCGACCCACAGCTTACGAATCCAGTGGCTTAACCATCAGGCCTTGTCGGGCCAGACTAGTATGTTCATTCAGAATTTAAAGCCCCACCCCCAGTGGCACAGCGGAATGTCTGCAGTCGTACAATGCTAGAAACCGGGATGGTCCATTGTGCAGCTTTGTGCTTCACTATAAACAGTGTTTAAATTTAACATTACACAAACGTGAACTCACGAAATGCTACGTTAGGTTTTGGAAGATCATCGTGCTGTCCAGATGACACTTTTTGTTTGATAATGCAAAACCAAGTAAAAAAAAACAAACTGTTAGTTAGCCATTCGTAGAAAGTGTTCTACAAGAATGTTTATCACTCGTTGTGTAAATTTAGAGTTATTCTTCAGAGTACAGTTGAACGACGAAACTGTGATGTTGAATATATCTAATCTGCATATCACCAACCCACACAATCTATACCACGCTGAATTTTAACTTACCGTTAACAAAATAATACACTAATTAATAAATTTCCTTTTGTAACAACTTTAAACTAAAGATTTATCTAGGGTTCTCTAGATTTCGCTAGTTAAAATTCATTTGATCTCTTCGTTCTTCAATATAAACTTTTTATTCCCTATCTCTATCTGTTTAACAAAGGGTTGTGTGATATCTTCATCGGGATTCAGTCCATGTTTTGGACCAGAGAGGGTCAGGTTTGGCGTACAGACCACTTCCTCCTTCTCAAGAATTGTTATCTTGTTTGCACTCATACCGAATCCTAAGTAAAAAACCCTCTTTACATTGTTG